GGGGGGGATTCTTTCTGCCTTGGGCGCCCATAACTCTGGTTACGCCACTACTGCTGAGCTTTGTATGTCCCAGCTCTTCCTTTTACATTATCCATAATATAAAATGCATAAATAATCCAACAGGGAGCCCCTCAAAATGGCCATAGCACCTGAAATATCGGTTTTGTGTGGGCCCACCCTTTAAGATGGCACTAGTGGGGAGCAGTGACACAGCATGAGCAACCCTGTAAGCCGTCATTCACACTGGAGCTGTACGTGCGGGCCCTATCGAGCAGCTCCCGGGAAGGACAGGTGCGGTGTGTGATTAGTCTATGGGACTACGCGGGCGTACGCCCCCCTATGCTCACCCACCCTGCACGTCCGTGCGGGTGAGTGTACTCGTACGCTGACAGGATGGATCCTGTCTGCGTTTGAGCCGGAAAACACGCACCCCTGCGGACCTGCACTTGAGGTGAGCGTAGGGGGGCGTACGGCCATGTAGTCCCATAGAGAAGGACGGGGGCTGCGTACTAATCACACGCAGCACCTGTCCTTCCCGGGAGCTGAGCGATATGGCCGTGCACGCAGCATGGAGCTGTACGTGCCGGCCGATTCCCGTGTGAATGAGGGCTATATGTTGATATAGTTTTAAAGGTGTAAAGGAGCACCTTGGGGTTCCTGCGTTCCGTGTTCAGTTAGTTCCCTCTATTACAAATAAAGATTTAATACACGACAAAGACTTCCCAGAGTACTACTGATAACCTAAAGAGGCAGCACCAGCAGCCTGCCTCGTGGCTGACTTTGTCTGATTGAATCTCAGTCTGAAACATCCTTTAATGAATCATTAAATCAGTGATTTAAAGGAGATCTATGAGGCGATTGAAAATCACTCATCCTCATAGTTCGAGCCAACGTGTGACAATGAAACTGTCACATGTCGGCTTAATAGATCGGGAAGTGAGCGAACACAGCACACGACATGTTCGCTCACTTCTCGATCATCTCACTGCAGAGAGCAGTGACTGTCACTCACGGCTCCCTGCAGGGGAGCGCTGAGTGGAGGAACGGACGGGGGAGGGGGCGGGTACAGCTGGCTCTGCCTCTAGATAGGCAGAGCCAGCTGTCAATCAGCCAGCTGGGTGGATCTCGACAGTATTGCCGGGACCCGTCCCGGCTGCAGAACTCTCAGTATATATAGATATACTGAGCTTTGGGTGATGGGAGGACGCTAGTATATGTCCTCCCATGACCCTGAGGAGAACTATGGGGGGAAAAAACTTACCTCATAGTTATCTTTTATATGGGTGTAAGTTTCACCCAGAGCTGCTAAAGTCTTTACGTTTACATTTCTACATAAAGACATTTCACAATATACAGCTACAATATTTGATGCTCGTTCCACTTTAACCACTTCTGCCAGTGCCATAAATGGAGGCTGGCAGGGGAGGTTCACGTTTTACAAGCCGACTGTCAGCCTTTGGATGGAAGCAATTCACTTCCACGTTACACCCCACCCCATCCCCCACCAGAGTGTACCCACCATGCATCCTGGGCTCTGCTGACCCTGGACATGTGCTCGCTGATCTCCCCTCCAGTGGGGTCCACAGGTGACATTAGGGGTCTAATAGACCCAGGGGTGACCATGCAATTTTTGCATGAGGCGGGACTGTGGCTGGGGGTGGTGTTCGTGGCGCACATTACCAGGGTGGTATTATTGGTGGTGCATGCTACCAGTACCTCTGTCCAGCATCCCGCCTAGGTCACTGATGTCACTGATTGCTAGAAGTTAGGCAGGATGCCAGCCAGAGCATCCCGCTCAGCTCCTGGCGACCAGTGATACCAGTGAGCTAGTCAGGATGCCGGCAAGAGCGTCACAGGTTGCTAAGAGCTCTTAGCAACCTGGGACACTCTAGCTGGAAAGGGGGCGTCAGGCACACCCACCGCTCCCCTATGTGACCCAATGAGATGCCATCTGAGGCAACTGCTTCAGGGTGCCTCATCCTGAATAGACCTGTCATTTCTAATATGCTATCACATAGGGGGCTATCATCCAATAAAGTGTAAAAAAAAATTGGGGCCACTCAGGGTCCCTTCAACGTTGCGATGTGACAAGATGTGTGTGCATCAGTAAAATGCCCCAGATATGTAAACACGCATCGGGTGATAACTGATGATCTATAAAGGCTTTTAAAGTGTTGCCTATGGACAATTTTGGATACCAAAGTTTGTCGACGTTTCACGGGCGCACTCAATTTTTATCGTTTGACATGTTTGGTATCTTTTTTTGGTATCTAACCTCATCTTTTATATTTCAGAAAACAATGGGGTATTATATTGTTTTTTTGTTTTGTTTTTTTTTTCCAAATAATTTTTTTTTATTGAAAAACATAAGGTTGACAGTCAAATAATACTATACTTTGTACAGGATTACCTATAACATAGAGCATAATAGTATAGGGTTATTACTAATTTTCTTAGACTGTATTAAGTGCCAATCAAAACATTCTAGAAAGGCAGGATAAATAGGCCAGAAATGGGGACCCATGGGTTATATTGTTTTTTTTTACTCAAAATTTGTGTTTGATATACGGTTGCACTCATATCATGTGACATAAAAAATGGCAACTACCGCCATTTTATTCCCCGAGGTCTCTGCTTTCATACATGTTTAGGGGTTTGATTAGTCTCCAGGCCTAAAAATGTTCATTTAAAGTGAAGTCGAGAGCGCCCTCTGCTGGGGAAAAACAAACAAACTATTCTTATGCAAAATGAGGGTGCATGGAGCTGGCATCTCGGCCAATCAGGAAGCCGGACGGCGTGTAATGACTCGCCGCCTGCCTTCCTGATTGGCCAAATAGGAAGCTGGGCGGCGAGTCAATACCCGCCCCCCAGTTTCCTAATCGGCCAGAAAGCCGGCTCCGTGATTCCTCGTCACTTGGTGATGAGGGAGCATGGAGACAGCTTCCCAGGTAATCAGGAAGCCGGGGGGCGAGTCATTACGCGGATTCCTTAATGGGACTTCCGGTATCGGTATTCGATATCGGCGAGTGCCGAACAAAAATATCCGTACTCGATAACGAAAAAACGGTATCAGTGCATCCCTAATTAATACATCATTAAAGTAGAATTGAAGCCTGAACTTTTTGTTGTTGTAGATAGAGTAAGGGACGGTTATAACCCATCAGCTTTTTTTTTTTGCCACCTGTGTCCCATTGGGCAGATTTCCCTTTACTTCCTGTCCAATATCCACAACAGGATGTAAGAGGAAATCCCTCCAACTAGTGTTCCCATTGGACGATTTTCCCATTTTTTTCTTTTTCTGGTGACAACCCAAAATTTGTGATTTTCTTTAAATGTTAGGCACCAGGACAAATAGAGAGGGTGAATCTCCCTAATGGGGACACAGATGGCAATAAAGACCTGACGGGGGTTCTAATCCCTTTCCACCCTACACAAGATTTACAAAAATGTTTGGCTTCAGTTGCACTTTAAATGTATGCAAGCAGTGTAAGTACCTGAATCTGACTTGATATCAGCTTCTTGCAGTCCCAGCATAGCAGAGCTCACAGTGGGAGAGAAAAAGACGCATACTGATAGAGAGAGGAGCCCATCACTGCACTGCTTCTCTATTCACTGTCCAGCCAATTTTGGTTGTCGATGTTTCACAGGTGCGCACAATTTTTTAGAGCTTGCCTTGTTGATACCTATTTACTTGGCGCAACCTTTCCTTTTATATTTCACCCAACAATTGGGAAAATATAGTTTTTACTGAAAATGTACTTATTGTATTTTTTTACTGGAAATTTGGGTGTGCTAAAAATGGTGTGACATAAAAAAAATTGCAGCTACCGCCATTTTATTCTGCAGGGTCTCCGCTTTAATACAAAAATGTTTTGGGGGTTTGATTAACCTCGAGTGGAAAGTAGTACAAGAAGACAAGGTGCACGCTGATAGGAGGAGAGAATAGAGTGACAGAGAGAGGAGCTCATGGCTGTGCTGCTTCTCCTTTAGCCGTCCAGTCACAGGCTGAGAGGAGGGATATAACAGAAAGTGGGTTGAGGGGTAGTTCACACCATATGCGGTCCGATTCTGGCCGTGATACGCACTGCTTCGCCTTGCGGCCGGCTCACTTTTTTGCTGGGCTGGAGGGGGCATGGCGGGCCATTGAAGTGAATGGCACCGTAGCCACGCCCTCCGGCCGCAATGCGATCGCCCGCACGGGATCGCAAGGCATATTTTGCCTGCAGTGCGGTGCGATCAAAATAGTGCTTGCAGCATTTTGATTGCACCGGACTGCACTGCAGGCACAATGTGGCTTGCGATCCCGTGCGGGCGATCGCATTGCGGCCGGAGGGCGTGGCTACGGTGCCATTCACTTCAGTGCTCACCACGCCCCCTCCAGCCCGGCAAAAAAGTGAGCCGGCCGCAATGCGAAGCAGTGCGTTCCGGCCAGAATCGGACCGGAACGCACTGCATATGGTGTGAACAAACCCTGAATGATGCTGGCTGTCAGAGTGAGGACATCTAGTGGCAGAAAATAAGTACTGCGGGAGCCAATTGAAGTTGAAGATTGCAACAAAAGTTGCCTTTTAAATGTATCTTCTTTTTTTTATTGCTTTTATTTTTTATTTCAGTTCTGCTTTAAACAATGTAACAACTTCTCACAGAGCTCAGCAGATACATTACATAATATGTTCCCAAGTAGCTGTTCATTTCATTCTGTTTAGAAGGATCTGTGATTTAATGATTTAATGACGCCATCCATTATCTGTCCTCAACGCAGCAATTTGCCGGCATCCGTGCGGAAGAAATATGGAATGCACAGCGCCGAATGTTTGCAAATGTAAGCCGGGCTACTCCGGATACAACTGCCAGAGCGGTAAGCGGCCGCACACAGTCATTCGTCCGAGTAAATGTTTACATGTGAGAGTAATGTGCCTCCTTATAATTACGTCTGATGTGCTGCAGCTGTGTGCCGCCCGGACTGCAGGAACCGTGGGAAGTGTGCGAGACCCAACGTGTGCGAGTGCGCTCCGGGATACGGGGGAACCACGTGCCAAGAAGGTGACTACTAACAGCTTCCTGCTCTGTGATTGGATGATTGATCACCAGGAATATTAGAAATAGAAAAGGATCATTTCTGGGTGGCACCCAGTGGATCCTTATAGGTCTCCAAATCTTAAAGCTGACCTCCGTCCTTCCATCCAGTCTTATATCTTACCTTCGTCCTTCCCTTCAGTCTTATATCTGACCTCCGTCCTTCCCTTCAGTCTTATATCTGACCTCCGTCCTTCCCTTCAGTCTTATATCTGATCTCCGTCCTTCCCTTCAGTCTGCTATCTGACCTCCGTCCTTCCCTTCAGTCTTCTTTCTGACCTTCGTCCTTCCCTTCAGTCTTATATCTGACCTCCGTCCTTCCCTTAAGTCTTATATCTGACCTCCGTCCTCCCCTTCAGTCTTCTATCTGATCTCATCCTTCCCTTCAGTCTTATCTGACCTCCGTCCTTCCCTTCTGTGTTATATCTGACCTCCGTCCTTCCCTTCAGTCTTCTATCTGACCTCCGTCCTTCCCTTCAGTCTTCTATCTGACCTCCATTTTTCCCTTCAGTCTTATATCTGACCTCCATCCTTCCCTTCAGTCTGCTATCTGACCTCCGTCCACCCTTTCAGTCTTCTATCTGACCTTCGTCCTTCCCTTCTGTGTTATATCTGATCTCCATCCTTCCCTTCAGTCTTCTATCTGACCTTCGTCCTTCCCTTCAGTCTTATATCTGACCTCCGTCCTTCCCTTCAGTCTTCTATCTGACCCCCGTCCTTCCCTTCAGTCTTGCACAGTTGTACCGGTTCCTCTCCTGGGCTGGAATGGCTTCCTCTGATGTCACTGCACACTGGGAGCTTCTCACCATGTGCATTAGAAGCCACAGCAAGTCAGATAGAGCCCGCCTCATTTCCTGGTTAGGTAACATCCAGGACCATTTAGCCTAATTGTCCCTCCCCCACCCCTTTAATTCATTGTTCATTCAAAGTTTGTTCATTTTTGGATAAAGTGTGGAAGGGTTAGAAGCTCAGTCAGGTCTGAATGTCTCTGCTGGGGAGTTTGGGGACAGATTTAAAGAAGAACTCCAGGAAAACTTTTTCTTAAGCCCCCAGGGTTAAGTTCTCATTGCCCAGGTTCAAAAACAACAAAGTTATACTCACCTGAAGATCCGAGCTGGCCAGCCTGCCTCCCCCTCCCTGCAGCATTGGAATCTTCCTCAGCGTCCTCACATCTATACACTGTGTATAGAACGTGCTGATTTACAGGACCTTAGACCTCTGCAGAGGAGGGGGAGAGACGCTCCAGGGACCGGTCTAAGAATGAGGTGGCTCATAGGATCGGGTGAGTAAAACATTTTTTTTAAACATAGACAAAAACAAGCAGTTAACCCTTGGGAAAGCCCCACTGCAAGGGTTAATATTTTTTCCCCCCTGGAGCTCTTCCTTAAAACCTTCTATAGTCTATCCAAAGCTAAGAAAAAGTGTTGCCTGTAGATATAGTTTAAATAGGTAACTCCATTGTTCTGCACTTGTAAATATGAAGCTCATTGTATACATGTGATTCCTAAATATGGAAATGTTCATACATCTCAAATCTAGAAAACACAACTTCATATAGAATCTCAATATCTAGACGATCCCTTGTTAGGTTAGGCACGGATCACCATTATCTTCATCATGACAACATATTGTAGTGTTTTCATAATGACGCATTTAGGTGTCTCTGTGAAAAGTCATTGTAGCTCACCCTCTGCTGGCTATTACGGGTATTGCAATTCTGTTTTACTTTCCATATGTTAAAGTGTGTCTAAAGGCAAAACTTGTTCTACTTTTACAGTAGGGTAGGATTAGAACCAATGTTGGATTGTTATTGTGGTCTGTGACTCAGAGGTCTTAATTCCTCAATACAGGTCCTTAGCTATCACTATGGGATCTAGGGTTGCCACCTTTTCTTCAAGCGAAACCCGAACACTCTAGCAACGCACAGTGTAAATATCACAGTTAAGACTATTTTTAGTGGGGGGCTACCATGAAACCCGGACACAGCATTCAAAACCCGGACTGTGCGGGTGAATCCTGGACAGGTGGCAACCCTAAAGGGATCACCAGCAGGAGGAAGGAGGTCCCGATTCCTCTATATAGATCTTTAGTTATCACTAAAGGGGCACCAGCAGGAGGAAGGAGGTCCTGATCCCTCTATATAGATCTTTAGTTATCACTAGAGGGATACCCAGCAGGAGGAAGGAGGTCCTGATTTCTCTATATAGATCTTTAGTTATGACTTGAGAGATCCCCAGCAGGAGGAAGGAGGTCCTGATTCCTCTATATAGATCTTTAGTTATCCCTAGAGGGATCCCCAGCAGGAGGAAGGAGGGCCTGATTCCTCTATATAGATCTTTAGTTATCCCTAGAGGGATCCCCAGCAGGAGGAAGGAGGGCCTGATTCCTCTATATAGATCTTTAGTTATCCCTAGAGGGATCCCCAGCAGGAGGAAGGAGGGCCTGATTCCTCTATATAGATCTTTAGTTATCCCTAGAGGGATCCCCAGCAGGAGGAAGGAGGTCCTGATTCCTCTATATAGATCTTTAGTTATCAATAAAGGGATCCCCAGCAGGAGGAAGGAGGTCCTGATTCCCCCATATAGATCTTTAGTTATCACTAGAGGATCCCCAGCAGGAGGAAGGAGGTCCTGATTCCTCTATATAGATCTTTAAAAGAGAACTATGTGATAAGTGTTTTTCCCCATAGTTCTCTTTACGGTCTTGGGAGTACATATACTAGCGTCCTCCTGTGACCCAAAGCTCAGCATATAGTGTACTATTGCCCATGATATACTGAGAGCTCTGCAGCCGGGGCGGATTCCGAAAATACTGTCGAGATTCACCTAGCTGCGTAATTGACAGCAGGCTCTGCCTATCTGGAGGCAGAGCCAGCTGTGTCCGCCCCCTCCCACATCTGTTCCTCCACTCAGCCCTGGAGGATCAGAGAGGGGAGGGGAGAATCCCTGCAGGGAGTGGTGTCTTACAGTCACGGCTCTCTGCAGGAAGATGATCAGAAAGTGAGCGAGCGACGGTATGTGTTTGCTCACTTCCCGATCTATTGAGCCGACCTGTGACAGCTTCTTTGTCACATGTCGGCTCGAACTATGAGGATGACTGGAAATCACTCACCTCATAGTTTTAAATATCACTAGAGGGGTCACCAGCAGGAGGAAGGAAGTCCTGATTCCTCTATATAGATCCTTAGTTAGATTTAGAATACTGTGTCCAGTTCTGGAGACCTCCCTTCCAAAATGTTATTGATAAGACATGAGTTCAGAGAAGGACAACAATAATGGTGAAAGGTCTGAGGGATACAATACTGTATCAGAAGAGACTGCAGGAACTTAATATGTCCAGTCTTGAGAAAAGAAAGGAAAGGGGATTAAAGGAGAACTATGGGTTTAAGGCTTTTCCCCATAGTTCTCCTTAGGGTAACGGGAGGACACAAACTAGCGTCCTCGCGTTACCCAAAGCCCAGTATACCGCAAGCTGCAGCTCGCGGTATACTGAGACGCCGCAGCTGAAACGGATCCCGACAATTGTGCCAGGATCCGCCCAGCTGCGTGACTGACAGCTGGCTCTGCCTATCTAGAGGCAGAGCCAGCTGTACCCGCCCCCTCCCCCGTCCATTCCGCCAGTCAGCGCTGGAGGATCGGACAGGGGAGGGGGGAATCCAGTCACTCCCCTGTCACAGCTCTCTGCAGTGACAGGATCGAGAAGTGAGCGAGCCCTGGTATGTGTTCGCTCACCTCCCGATCTACTGAGCCGACCTGTGACAGTCTCATTGTCACAGGTCGGCTCAGATTATGAGGCTGAGTGAAAATCGCTCACCTCATAATTCTCCTTTAAGACCTTTAGATACATGGAGGATGGGAATAAGGTTCAGCAGGATTTTTAATATAACCTGAGATCTAGAACACGGGGACCTGACCTCAAATTAGCTGGAGGAAAGTTCAAAACTGACCTTACTAAGTATTATTTTACATGGATAGACGAATCTTTATCTGTGTAACAGGCAGAAAATATCTACAAATGTCCAGAACTTCCAGAATTATTATTCTATAATTCATTTCATAATTTATTTATTTTTAGCTCACTGTGATCCACCATGTGACCATGAAGGGACCTGCCAGGCTAGGAATGTATGTTCCTGTCCGTTTGGTTATGTTGGACCTCGTTGTGAAACAAGTAAGTCTGCACGATGTAATATATCCAAGAATTATATACAGGGTTATTCACAAAAGGGTGAAGCGTTTGGAGAAGGCCAGAGAAGTGAACAATCGAGGTCAACATCGCTGAACTGGAAAGTGAGCTGAATTGGAGAATTTTTCCAAATCGGCTATGTTGTCCTAGATTGTTCACTTCTCCGGCCTTCTACAACCTCTTCACCCTTTTGTGAATAACACTGATAGTCTTCTATGGTTGGCCCCAACCTCTGCAAATGCCAGTTGTCTGGCCGCCATGACAATGCAACGGCTTTGGCAAACAAAACAAAAGATGTGAATCATTGACTTCATTGCTGTATGCTTGTTCAAGGTCAGAGACTGAGAAATGATGGAACCCGAATTGTTGGTGGACCAGCCAGCCCACTAGCAGGGTCAGAAGGGGAGGTCCAAAGCCCCAATCTGTCTATACAGCTTTCCTTTGAAGCCACTTTCAACCTTCTTAAAATACTACTCACTGTAATGGGGTCAGGCTGTATAAATATGGGCTTCCTTTATATTTTGTTAACACTATTTGCTGTGACAAGCATTACTATACCCCGTGCCAGAAGCATGCTAGAGAGCCGGACCTCTACAACCTACCTCTATCAACCTACAACACAGCAATTGGACACACACCCTGCCCAGTGCTCCAATCAACAATGCTCATGTCCCCTACAGTGGTGGTAATTAGAGAACTGGACAGGAATATAGACCACTGCTCTCTGTGTGGAGCAGAGGCCTGGATCTCAAGTGTGCCACTAGCACAAGATATTTCAAACCTTCCTGCGCTAAACAGTAGTGTTAAAAGATAAAGAAGTCCATTTCTATTACAGTTTATGCAGCCTGACTTCATTATATAAATGATATAAATGGCTGTAAATCACTGTAAATATTGTGCAGAAATAACTACAGCACCCCCTGCAGATGGAAACTTGCATTGCAGGTTAACTATTCAGACATAATGGAGCTCTGTGAGTTGTGTTATAGCCATACTGGAAGACTGAAGATAAGACAGAAGATCCTTGTTGGCCAATTCGGCTGGTTGCATTTAGATCTGGAAATCATCTGTGTCAATGATTGGCAGATCCCAGTTAGATGTCAATAGCAGAACCGGTCCACAGGCAGTGCAATGCCTTCCTAGAGAACTAGTGGGGGCAGGCAATTCATCCTGTACGGTAAGGCTCTTATACCTGACAGTCTTACATTTTCTTTGTGCAGTGGTGTGTAACCGGCACTGTGAGAATGGAGGTGAATGTGTGGCCCCTGACGTGTGCAAATGCAAGCCTGGCTGGAGTGGACCCACCTGTAGCACAGGTAAGTGTTTTTGATGGGAATTAAAGGGATATTCCAGTTAAATGCATTAAAGGAGCTTATCCCACCTGCTCAACACTTAGTTATAAAACCTTTGCAGAGTGAATCACAGCACATTATGGCCACTAGACGGAGCCGAGGAGCACAGGAAATATATACTCATCTTACCTGTAGTTTTAACAGGGGGTAGAGCCTGCTGGGTCCCTCCCACAGCTCTGCTCTCTGCACAGGCCATGGGCAGCAGAGTGATGATGTCACTGCTACTTTTCCAAGAAAATATCTGGGTTTGCAAAAAGAATTAGTGCACACAAAGTGGATTTATACGTGGATTTATATTGAGAAATATATTTAAATTACAATTTGCCCAGAGTTTAGCTTTAGGTCGTGTTTCTTCAGCCATTTCAGCATTATACCTCAAGAGTGGGTGTATGCCGTCTGTATTCTGCATTATGTCAGTTTGAACAGAATGTATTTCAAAAGTTTTCCTTTTCTTTTTGATTTTGTTCAGTGGTGTGCCATCCCGTGTGCCTCAATGGTGGCACTTGTCTGAAGTCCAACGTGTGTCTCTGTCCCAATGGCTTCTATGGAGCTCAGTGCCAGAACGGTGGGTTTTCTGTGAAACACAGAAATATATATACGACTGATACAGATTACTTTATAATACATTTATATACTGTATATTATTCTTTGTATCTCATTAGGGATCTCGTATTCTAAAATCTATTTATTATGTGCCTATTGGTAAAGTGTACATACTGTACATCCTAACAAGGAACTCCTCCTATTTGCTCCCTTTCAGTCTGTTCAATTGGACCTTACACTACAGGGAAGCCAATCACCCCTCCCCATCCTTAAAGGCTAAGTCCACTTTTAAAAATTTTAATAAAAGAAAAAAAAAGTGCATTTATAATTGTTTGCATTGGAGCCAGTAAAGCCATGAAACTGTGATTAGTGGATGGCGGGTGCAATACTCTGGCTCCTGCAGATTCTCCCTCCTACAGGATGTGGTGACGTTACCACACTTTCTTTTAAGTCCCTCTGCCATGGTGACACATGGGACTTGTAGTTTGTCCATTGACAGACATTGTCAAAGGATCTGTGAATGGAAGATGCGGCTGTGTGGGCGGAGCCACGCACAGCCATGCCATTTTCAAAAATCAATGGGAGACTGCAGGGAGAAAAACCCTGCGATTCAGGTAAATGGGAAGCGGGCTTGGCGATGTCACTGTGTTTCATGTTACACCCTGAATACGGCTGTAACATGACACAGGGGGAATCAGTTATAAATGTTCCGCTCTGCATATATATTCGGGAGGATGCCATTCGCACAGCAATAGCCCCTCTAGATGGCGCTGACGAGTATGGGATAGATACTCATCAGCGCCATCTAGAGGAGCATAGCGGGAGGGATGCCGTTCGCACAGCACTGAGATTTGGCCCACTCAACATTCTCCAAGATCTGGCCAGAAGGATGATTACATGACCCTCACCCAGGTGCCATAGGAGGAAGTCTGGAAAAGGTAAGTATATTATCAAACTTTTACCACCACACAGATACAGTACTTTTTTTTTTTTTTTTTACTTCTATCCAGCATTTTAAGTTGGGGGAGATCTTGAATAAGCAAAAAAAAAAGAAAAACCTTGATTCTGTCACCAATCCAATGAGCATGTAACTTTGCATGCACCATTTCTCGTGCAATTCCAGCCAAATCCTTTTAAGTAGGCTCAGTCTTAATGCTATGCACGTTGGCATCGAAGCACCGCAGTGGTGTACATTGGCCCTTAGGTACCTCTGTTAGAAATATATATGGAGAAATTTACAGTGTGGCCGCATTTGATTAGGTTTACACCAAAAAATTAAAATCACCTTCCTTGAAATACCAGCTTTCCAACCTGCACTTCCTCTATGTGTAATGAGGAGATGGATTCAATAAAGATTGTGAGGGTGTCCGATCACGGACTGGATATTAATTATTTTATCATCTTTATAGTTGGTGGTAATCAGTAATTGTAACTGTCCCTTGTTATAAAATGATATACTGCTTTTCCTCTATATGCCTTGATAATGATGGGTAACAAATACCCGGTCTATGTATTGTATGATTTCAGCGGTGTGCAGCCCCCCGTGTAAGAATGGCGGTCACTGCATGAGGAATAATATCTGCAGCTGTCCAGACGGATACATCGGTAAAAGATGTCAGACGAGTAAGTGAATGTGATGGTTCCGTGTCTCCCCTGTCTCTGGTCTGTCTTCTGTTTCTGAATAATACAGGAATAAAATATATATGGGATGGGAAGGAAAGAGAGAGCGAGGCAGGAAAAGGAGAGGAAGGAGAAGGGGAAGACAAGAGAGAGATAAGAAAGAATGAAAAGAGAGAGATGAAGAGAGAGATATGAGGAAGAGAGAACATAAGAAAGAAGAGAAAGATGGAGGGAGAGAATATATGAGGAAGAGAGAAGGGAAGAAGAGATAGAGAGATAGAGGGAGAGAGAAAATATATGAGGAAGAGAGAAGATGAGAAAGAAGAGAAAGATGCAGGGAGAGAATATATGAGGAATAGAAGAGAGAGAGAGAGAGAGAGATGGAGGGAGGGAGACAGAATAAAGGTAGAAAAGAGACAGAGATGACTGAGGGAAGAGGATACATAAGGAAGTGAAAAGATACAAAGAGAGAGAGAAAGATACAAAGAGAGAGAGAAAGAAAGAAAGATATAGGAAACAGAAAGGTGTGTAAGAGAAAGGAGAGAGAGAGAGAGAGAGAGAGAGAGAGAGAGAGAGAGGAGAGAGAGAGAGAGAGAGAGGAGAGAGAGGAGAGAGAGAGAGAGAGATGGATAAAGAAATTATGAGGAAGAGAGTAAATAACAACAGAGAATAAAACAGAGAGATATGTTGGGGTGCCATTCAAAATAAATGGCACTGCAATGTGCTAACGCACATAACATGCTTTGTGGTGGTGTGCGCCTTAAGGAAAATGCTACTGCAACGCAGCGGGAAAGTGTAAACTTAGCACATGGTAGAGAAAGTAGTGAGAGACAGACAGAAATAATAATGTGGTGGTGGTGGGGAGATGGAGTAAAAAAGCGAGTGATGGAGGGAAAAATAAGGGAGAGAGAAGGCAGTAGGGATATATGTGTGTATACAGTATATATATTACATAATATAATTATATATTTATATCTAATTCTCTGTTTTTAGGTGTTTGTGACCCAATATGTATGAACGGAGGAAAGTGTGTCGGTCCCAATATTTGCTCCTGTCCATCAGGCTGGAAAGGAAAAAGATGCAATACACGTAAGGGGGATTTCTCTTTGAATATGGGGTCTGTACATGTAGTATAATGTAAATGTTTGTAACAATATACTATACAGTATGTGAGCTCTCCCATATACTCTCCCATATACTGAGTATACAGCTTATGAGCTCTGCAATTCCACAATGAAAAAAAAAATGTAAAGCTTGAATATTTCTGTTACTTTAACTAATTATAAAAATATATAGTTAGTTATCCTTTATTTGAATAGAAAACACGGAGGCAGTGAATACAATACATTCTTGTTGGATATAACAACTTTTTCTAGCGATTCCTGTCATTCTGTCCCCGCTGTATATTTACCTTTCATTAATGGAAGTGTCGGTTTCTGATTTCCACAGCAATATGTCTTCAGAAATGTATGAACGGCGGTGAGTGCATTGGCCCAAACACATGCCAGTGCCCCCCTGATTGGGAAGGGGCTCAGTGCCAGAGCCGTAAGTAGCGCTTTGTATCCCGCGGCGCTGTGCCATGGTCTATGTTTATATACATTGATATCATTAGCCGGGGAAATGTCTCCTTGTTCATTGTGTTTTCTGTATTATTTCAGCCGTGTGCAATTACAAGTGTTTATATGGCGGTCGTTGTACCTCGCCCAACGTATGTTCCTGTCGCCCTGGATACACCGGAGTGACGTGTAGTCAGAGAATACAGGTAATGGATGAGTACTTTTTAGGTATAGTCACTATAGCTGGTAGTAGTTAGTCGCATTCAACTGGTCTTGAAGACTAGTGATGAGTGGACTAGCATGGGTCTGGTTTGTTTGGACCTTCACCAAACCCAGCCAGAAATCCAGGGACAGCGGACGTCCAAGCGAACCTCTCCTTGCACAGCATCATTGGTTCCTAAGATGCTGGTGGCTCCAAAACATCATAGGTTTTTATGGTGCACACTACCAACCAATGACGCTGTGCAGCTCAGCCACCAGTCAACCAATAACGTTGCATGGGCACAGGCAGGCAGCCAAACTAGCCAAGTCATTGCCCCTTTAGCAAACTGCGGACAACCTGAGTTTGGGTCCGTCTAATGGTCAACCCAAATATATAGTTCTTCCCTTCTGAAGGAGTTACACTGCTTATCCAGGCTGTTTCTAGGTTCTAATGAGTGTCAGGAACATACCCCATCCATTTTACACAGTTACTCAACCACAATAGTCCAATCACCATAGAATGTGTCAAGGTAGATGCTGTTTGAACAAGATGGGAGCTGTGAAAGTTATGGAACCCCCTGTGCTGGTTATATAATTGCTTATAACATAATATATGCCTCATAATGTGAGAATTAGGATTTTGAAGCTGAACCTCAGCCAGGAGAAGAATATCATTATCAAGGTGCATCTTTACCTTGTGCCAAAATGTTGTCCATTTATTTTCCAACTCTTTCTTCAACCCGGCACCCTGAGCACCGCTCCTGCATTGACACCCATCAAGTGAGTAAATTCCAATAGTATCATGGGAAATGTAGTTCCCATTTTCCCCTAGCGATGCATGTTGGATGTGATGTGTGCTGCCTGCCTAGATCCTCCCCACCCCCAATGCCCAGGACGAATAAGCCTGAATGAAGCAGCCAATTACATCACACAAAATTAAATCATTAACTACTAGAAGTAAGGCTTTTATTTTAAAACTCAAAAGCGTTTTTATTTTTGGATGGCAGAAGAGAGCTAAGGGTCAGAAGTGGATAGGATCCTTGAGTTCAGCTTTAATGGTGTCTGGAAATGAACTGTATGCAACACAAGCTGGAGATCACTAACCATCGATTGGTTACATTTTATTACATAAAGATATTAACCACTTGAAGAGCGGGGTGTTAATCATACTTTATTTTTTTGGCACAGTATAAAAGATGGGGTTGTGTTGGGTAGTGTAGATACCTAACCTTTCAAGCCTTAAAGGAGAACTATGAGGTGAGTGCTTTTCACTCACCTCATAGTTCTAGCCGACCTGTGACAATGAGACTGTCACAGGTCGGCTCAGTAGATCGGGAGGTGAGCGAACACATACCGGGTTCGCTCGCCTCTCGGTCCTGTCACGGCTCTCTGCCGTGACAGGGGGAGGGGCTGGATTCCCCTCTCCCCGCTCCGATCTGCCATCGCTGACTGGCGGAACGGACAGGGGAGGGGGCGGGTACAGCTGGCTCTGCCTCTAGATAGGCAGAGCCAGCTGTCACTCACGCAGCTGGGTGGATCCCGTCATCTAAGTCGGGATCCGCTCCGGCTGCGGCGTCTCAGTATACCGCGAGCTGTAGCTCGCGGTATACTGAGCTTAGGGTAACGGGAGGACGCTAGTTTGTGTCCTCCCGTTACCCTAAGGAGAACTATGGGGAAAAACACTGACCCCATAGTTCTCCTTTAAAATTGGGTGCACCTGTGAAATTGAAAAAAACGTCAATGCCCAAAATTGCCCATAGGTGGCACATTAAGGGCTTTTACCGATCATCAATTAAGTGTTAACAGGGATTGATGGCCCTAAAATTATTGCTCGCACTCTGGCTAACAAGACCCCTATGTGATAGCACAGAGACAGTGACAGGTCCTTTTTATGGAGATACCAGGAGTCTATTAGACCCTTAGTTCACCTACAGACCCCAGATCTGCTTCATTGGCTTCTTCTCTGGCTACATCAGCTGGAGAAATGACAGACTGAAACTGGAAGTGATATAATACACATCGTACATACAAATGCAGCCGGTAAATGTGTGCTGATCTTCCTCCAATCCAGCCACAGAGAGCCACCGTGCCAGTCCTGGGCCAGCACAGGGGACAGCAGAGCCCAGGATAGCCGGCAGCAGCGACGAAGCGGGGGGGGGGAGGGGTTTGCACACTTCCCCAGCACCATACAAGTGATCAGGCAGCTCTATGACCCGAACACTTCTATGTAACAGCTGTCGCCGGCTGCTCAAAGTTTCCCACTCTCGCTCAGGTGGGGGGAGGGCGCATGTGACCAGGCGCGGGAAAAGTCATTTAGAAACGGTCACCCACCCCCAAGTGTGAGTTGACTGGCCGTTTAATTGGAATGGCCGTACAGAAATCGGTTAAACTTTGATTGGTTACATTATATTACATAAAGATATTAAACTTGGGATGTCCTGATACCACTTTTTTAAGACCAAGTACACGTACTGTCCCTCATGTACTTACCGATACCAATTACTGATACTTTTTCTTAAAGGGACATGTGACATTTTTTCTAAAACAACACAGACTGATGATTATAGGGCAGTTTCTCGCCAGGGCTAAATACAGATGTCACCAGAACTGAATACATGTCCCCAAAGCAGGATACATGATAAAGCTTTCGCCGCCTTCAGCATTCACTTATTTTCCTTTTTTTTTTATTCTGTAGGGAGCTCGCGGGTGAAGGAAAACTGAACTGAGTGCTGCAGAAAACATTGAGGAAGTGAACTAAATATCCAGCAGGACTTGACTGTACTCAACACACAATAGTTAAAACTCAGATTACGAGTATCAGCGGCGTTCTAAGACCAGAGAAAGTGACTCGGAGGATACAGGGGTAGAGCTGGCTTATAGTGTACCTGGACCGTCGTGCAACAAGAAGAGATTCACGCTTGGTGAAACAGCAGCTTTGAGATCTCCTTTTATACTGTATTTTTCTACAAGTGTAGCGACTGAACAGCTGTAATCCAACCAGGACCTACTACTGTAACTGTTATTTATGTACAGGTGAAACTCGAATAATTAGAATATCGTGCAAAAGTAATTGCAGTAAGTGCTGCAAAAGGGGCCCAAACCAAGTACTGAGTACATATGCATGCTTGTACTTTTCAGAGGTCCGATATTGTTCTATGTGCAATCCTTGTTTTATTGATTGCATGTAATAATCTACTTTTTTGAGATTGTGGATTTGGGGTTCTCATGAGCTGTAAGCCATAATCATTGTTTTTCCTCAACTTTTTTTTGTGCCATACCAATACAAACAAAAGAAATAAACATGAGAATGCCGAAACATTTGTCATTGCACCAATTTTCTATGCAAAGTGGTGCATTATCTGACAGAAATGCCGGGGTGCCAATATTCTGGGCCATGACTGTATATATTTATGTATTCAGGTTTTTATTTGGTACGCTGTTTTAAAAAAAAGACCCTGCTCTGTTTTTCTTCTAAGCTGACAAATGCGCAAAATGTATTTGATAGTGCAACTGTATCTGACAGTTACACAATTAAAAAGATGGCACTGCAGATAAACAATGCAGCATGAAGGTGACCGTATTCATTTGCATGCTCAACGCTTTCATTTTTATCAATAAAGCCTCCAGCCCGCATAGCTGACATAGTGACACATGAACAGGAATCACTATGATTGTTTCCTGACTGTCAGTGGGGACCCTGGCTGACACTAAAAGCTGGGATTGAGAGCCAGTAGCCACATTTCATGTCGGCTGCTGGCCGTCATAGGAAAGAATATTTATTTACATGGGGCATCAAAGTTCATGGAATGTTATTAAAACAAATCTTCTTTGGATTAGTAATATCCTGTATATTGCACAGAAATTTTTGGATCATCCACAAGGCAATCTAGGAAGGAGCCCAGAGCCCGGTGGATGTCCAGAGGGTCCAGCTACAGCCTTCATGCTCTTTCAATAAACCAGGGGTATAGTGCAATTGGCCAAATCTGTGCACCTACCTGTTGCTTCCCAAAGGAGGTTGTGCTTGTAGGTAGTTGGTGTCTGATGGAGCCATGCCAGTACGGACAATACAAGTGAGGCATCTTCTCTGTACTGCAATCTGTAGCAATGTCAATTATTGGGATTGGGGGCTAAAGTTGCTACTTTAATAACATTTTTACCCAGAGTTCTTCTTTAAAGAGACCCTGTCCTAACAAGAAAACTGCTGCTAGTAGCACCTAGAGGAGCTCACACATATCATACCTGGAGCAATCTCCACAAACCTGTTGCTACAGTTGAATGCCACATCATTTTGACAGGCAAAGCTCCTGCGGCTTCCAATAGTGCTTGAGTTTGACCGCCCCCTCCTTGCTTCCTTCACACTGCTATTGGCCAGTGAGGCTGCCCATCATTGTAATGGGCCAATAGGAATGTCAGGAGGCGGGAGGTAGCAGCAAGCTCTGAATTTTAAAATTATTAATTTTAGGGCTTTGGAAATTAAAGATTAATTTCTCGATTAATCGTTAAACTTTTTGATCAATTAAAATAATTTTGATCGCTAATGAAAACACTCGCCTCTCCGCCGCCTTCCGGGAGTCCCGTCGGCGATCCAGTGACGTCGCGGACATCGACGTCACCGGACGTCTCCCCCCTTCCCCAAGTGGCTCAGTCGGCTAACGAAGGGAAGGGGGTTATAGGATCTGTATGTGCGTTTTAATTAATCGAAATTAATCGATTTAAAAAAATTTCGATTAATCGAACACAAAAATTTTAATAATTACCAGCACTAATTAATTTTATAATTTAAGGGTAGTCCACCCGCCATTATAATTTGTACCAGTGTCACCATTTCTATATATCTATAGGCATTTATTTTATCTGATGACTCGCAATAGAGAAAGAATATGTTTCCGGCAGTGTAGAAATGACTGCTGTAGGTCTGATGCCCTTTGTAAAAACTATTTGGGACGCCCTGAGAGCGACGCAAGTTTGTACCAAGTCCAGTAGAAGTCATAGGATAATGTCAACGGGGCTGTGAACTCCCTGATTAAGGGGGAGTTTTGAGCCCCCCCACCCCCGACATGTGTTGGATTTATCCTTTTGACTTTCTATCAACTATATTAAACTTCTTCTGGACCCGTTACAAAATTGTATTAAAAATTTCCAGGACAACCCAAATAGTTTTCACAAAGGGCATCAAATCTACAGCGGTTCTGCCTGAAACTGACTGAAACATTTTTTCCACTATGGCGAGCCGTCAGACATAATAAATGCACGTGGATATGGAAATGGTGACACGGGCACAATCAATTATAATGGAAGATCAGCTTCCACTTGATTATAGAATTATTAATTAGAAGGAGTACCAGGAAAGCCTTTAATTATAAAATAATTAATTAGAGAGATTACCGGGAAATCATCAGAGAGGTTCCTGTAATTGCTGTTTGACAAATTACACTGTGCTGTACGTGATATACTCCATGCTGTTGCGCTCTGCACTTCATGCTATTGTTCTGCAGATGCTGTGTGTGTGTGTATATAACAATATCATGAAAAGAGAAGTGCCAAATGGCTAATCAGTTAAGGTTCTAATGTAATGTTATGGGGTGTAGCAGATCCCTTTCTCAAGAAGGATCTTTGGCCTGTTATTACCCACAGCCTTAAATACACCCTACCAGCCGGTCTATCCATGTACATTGCCTGGCCAAAGAAATGTCACACACTCTAATATTTTGTTGATTACGGCATGCATTTGCCATGCCATGGATTACGATAAGCTTATGCAATGTCACAACATTTATTTCCATCCAGAGTGGCATTAATTGTTCGCCAAGATCTTGTAGTGATGATGGGAGAGTCGGAGCACTGCGTAAAGTCTTCTCCGGCACATCCCAAAGATTGTCAATGGGGTCTGGGCTCTGTGGTGGCCAATCCACGTGTGACAAGGATGTATCATGCTCCTTGAACCACTCTTTTACAATCTGAGCACGGAAATCCTGGTGTTGTCATCTTGGAATATGCCCAATGTGCCATCAGGGAAGAACAAATCCATTGATGGAACAACCTGATCATTCAGTATATTCAGGGAGTCAGCTGACCTCATTTTTTGGGGACATACCGTTGCTGAACCCAGACCTGAGCAACTGAAGCAACCCCACATCATAACACTAATTCCACGTGGTTACTTTTTTGGGCCAGGTAGTGTTTATTTGGTATGGCACTCCTTTGTCATGCGGTTTTCCAGGTTCCCTCCAAAATCTGTCCATGTTCCTTGTCCCCCTCGGCATCCTTGATTAGCTTCAGCTTACTGTTCAGAATGACGCACCTACAGTACGTAGTAGTACCCAATCTTCTCACATTTGTTTCATGACCACATTACACCCAACTTATTTATTACAGCCCCTGACTGCCATAATGAAGTCAGAGTGCACACACACACCACATATTGTATGCTAGACATTTCATAGATATGCTGGAGTGTCATTCATACCAAGCCTCAGTTCCATTGCTATAGGTGTGTTGTGATTGGAGCAAACAGCAGCCACCATTAACACACCAAGGGAAAGCTATGCAGTGTCATTCTTCTAGGACCAGGGAATCTACAAATGAAGCATCTCACTGTAATATTCAAGTCCAGATACAATGATAACATTTCGGCAGAGACAACACGTTTTGGGGGTAGAGTGCTATCATCATCG